CATTCAAAGTCTACATTATATATACAGGGTGGCGAAAAATTACGTGCGCGCAAATTTTGACGCGATCACGTGACTGCTTTGAGCATCAAAGTCAGCTTTTACGCATCAGTTGCTTTCTTTGCATCTTCAACAATCAGCCTGTGAAGAGAAAGTTGTTCTCAAGACCATGGTGCAGGCCTGCACAAGTCGCGAGGAGATTGCACGCCTAGCCAGCGGCGGGATGAAGAACAGTGCAATTTCGTCGAAGCTCAGAATTCCTCTGAGAACAGTTCAAAAGATTGTGAAGCAATGGAAGGAGGAAGGACACGTCTTAACCAAGCCGGGAAGAGGAAGGAAGCGGACTGTCAACACAAGGAGGATGCGTGGTATTATAAGAAGAGAATTGACCGTAAGGATGATCGGAGCATGAACAAAATGGCAGAGCAGCTCGAGATCTCCAGAAAGTCCGTTCAAATGATAGTGAAAAATGAGCTTGGGCTTCGAAGTTATCGCCTATTGAATGGACATGTTCTCACCGAAAAGACAAAGCAAAGTCGAAAAGAAAAATGCAAGAAACTGCGGGAGTTTTTCAAGGTGCGCCGAATTGAGGACGTTCTTTGGTCTGACGAAAAAGTCTTCACTGTGGAAGTGGCTAAAAACCCTCAGAATCACCGCCAACTTCTCAGTCCAGCTCTTAAGAACACCCGGAAGAGAAAAATTGCCACAAGAAGTTTGTTTCCCAAAAGTTTAATGGTTTGGGGTGGTATCAGTGCATCAGACAAGACTTCGTTGATTTTCATAGACAAAAATGTGAAAATTGATGCGAAGTTCTACCAAAAAGAAATCCTTGAAGAAGCTGTGCTACCCTGGAAGCAAAATCATCCCAACTTCATCTTCCAGCAGGACTGGGCTCCGGCCCATGCAGCGAGATCCACCATTCAGTTCCTCGAGACCGAAATTGGCTCCTTTCTGACGAAAGATCTGTGGCCTTCTAACAGCCCAGATTTGAATCCTTTGGACTTTGCTGTTTGGGGTTATATGGAAGAGGAACTAAGGAAGAGAAACGTGAAAAGTTTGGTGGCTTTGCGAAAGGAAGTGTGCAAAATCTGGAACAGTTTGGACATCAACTACCTTCGGCGCACCGTCGACTCGATGAAAAGACGAATCGAAGCCTGTATCAAAGCAGAAGGCGGGCACTTTGAAAACTTGTTGTGATTATGTAATGTCATTGTTTGTTGTTCTAAGAAAATATTTTTCTTCCCATGTTGGTATACGAATAATAAAGTTCGAGCGTTTTTTATGGCGCACGTAATTTTTCGCCACCCTGTATATGTAATTATACTTCCCTCTTTATCGTAATCGCTTCCTTCATATAGAAACTTTGGTCAGTAAAAGCTACACCAATGTCACAGGCTGAGACAATTTTTAGGCGCTTCAAGTCCAGCTATGATAATATATCCTAAGGACCTATCACGCAATGGAAGGAGTGAATGCCTGAAGGGGTTCTGTACGCCATCATGCGTGTTGGTGACGCTCTTGAATGTTCCTGATTAGACGCAATTTATGAATGCTTGGCCTTGATGTTATTAAACATGTACTGCGAACAAAAATGTCATGAAGTTTTTTCTTCATGGATACCCAAAGAGTATCGCGCATCTACAACTCCGTGTCTATCTATCTTCTAGGCCGTAGGCAACTTTTTTTAATGCACGGACGGAGTTAGATAAGTATTTCATAACTTAGTGCTTATTATTATTTGTATAAATGAAACCAATCCGAGAACACAAGCAAATTAAAATCGAGGTTTTTGCGGTGCGATTCCCATATGTTTACAGATGATCGAGAGCATGACTTCATCAGCTCCAGCTCCAACTGAGTGCAGACGGAGGTCACGGTGCATTCGGCACACTGGATTGTCCCACGTGAAGCCATTGCCACCCCAGAACTGGAAAAAATGCTGTCAGTGAGGGAATTGGCCAACACTGTCCTCCCCCTCATGAGAGCTCCGCTTCTGACGTACCTGTAGGCAACTATCAGTGACAACTCTGGCCAGTCGTCCGGCTTTCAATTTCGTCATGGAGGCTAGCAAAGTGACGTCATCGCCATGAAGTCTTGATAAAACTGCCCTGAAACATCGTCGGCAGGAAATGGTGAAGAAGAAGAAGTATGAGGACTAGCTGTGTTTGGTGATGTCAGAATAAAGCAGGACACGCTACGCGAAAATTTTCCATTCGAATTTACAGCAGTTTTTGAAGGGGCGAGATTCTACGATGAATTGTGGGATCAACTGATGTTCACTTTAGCCAGTTTTTGCTGGCCAATTGCTGCTTGTTTCCGTACTTTGCGTTGCTAGCCCGAGTTTGCTGATTTGTGAACTGGACCCCGGCTTTTTGTTTCCTACAAGGCTTTTTGTCACAGATCAGCACTTCCTTTATTTGAATACATTATACTAGTTTCTTCATTCGAAAGGAGTTTCGCACTATTCACACAACCAGCTTACCCCAAAGGCATAGAGTGCTTGGATAAGTTGGTCGGGGTATGAATGCACTGAACGGAAAGCGATGCAGAGCCTTAATTCATTGCGCTCACTGAGCACAGTCACTCACCTGTAGAGAAGGGCTCGAACGGCTTCAACTTCTGACTGTAGTTCTGCCAGCGTGAAGTGTACGGTCTGTAAATTGATGCATTACAAGTATATGGTTGGCCTCCAAAACAGCGTAACAGCGTAACAGCGTCAATGAAGTGAAAACGAAGAACTATTGCCAAAGAGCTTCATAATTTTTCTGTAACATTTTTCAAATACCGTGATGGGATGAATGGCGCCGCTCCTAATCAAATGCCTAACCGAATCCCAACTACATTAACTGAGTTTCTCATTCCTCGCAAAATAATTTGTATCAAGCTCTTGGCATTTTGATTGGGGTTTGCGAGAAAAACCTCTGACATCCTTTGGTTGATACGGGCAATCCTTTGTTTCAATAAAAACCTTCATGTTTTCACCGCTGAGTAATTCGCTAATGCTAAATTTGAGTAACCTGCTGATCAAGGACGGTGCTGCCGAAAAGCTTCCGCTCTGATGCATACTTTGCGGTGAGAGCAATACACCGTTGAAGAGGCTCCAGCACTGGAAAAATATTTTCTTTTTGAAACGCGAAAGTTCAAGTAGAATCAAAGCGCTTACAAACAGCAGCCGCTACCAGTCGTTCATCTTGGAATTGTAACATCTGATAGAAGAATCCACGACCCTCTTCGCCAATGATACAGCTAGCCGGTACCTAATAAATAAAAAAGCGAATTCAAGCAAATTCAAGTATTGACATATGTTTTGTAGCTATCAAGTGCTGGTGGAACCAGTACCTATTCTAGCAAGTGAACAAAAAGATGTAAAATGGTTGATGGAGTGAGCTCCATGTTCGTTCACTCTCACTATATGGGTTCGTACACATTAGCACTCGAATGTCTTCAGCGACACACTCTTCAGTCACTCCTTTTTTGCTGCAGGACCAAATTATGCGCTTAGCTACAGGACTTACTGGCCCTTTCCCGGAAAATGTCAAATTGTCGGAAACACAGGTTAGGCGTACTCGCAAGTAAACAGAGCCTGCCTCCTCGGGTTCGTATTTAGATCGAAAGAGGTGTCTCTTCGCCCGCCCTGGTAGGTCAGCGGCCTCGTAGTAGGGTTATCTTCGAGGCACTAACTTGATGGCTTTTGGCAAAGCTCCTTTATTGCATCCAATTTCGAAATAGGAGTTTAAGAAACAGCGTAGTGTGATTCTGAATACAGGGAAAAACTCAAAAAAACCTTACAGCAGGCTCCTTTTTGTTGTCCCTTCACAGATACATATGCCATCGCTTGTAACCACCTCAAGGGCAAT